CCATTTCTCTGAAAATGCGGTGTTTACATTGAAAAGGCTACAGGAACAGGCTATAGGCACCAGAACAACTACATTAAGCTGCAGTGGTTCTGGTGACTACATTATCCCATTAAGAATGGCATATTTCTCATTGTAAATTAAAATTTGCTCATTTAAAAAAACAAAAACTGGATCCTAACCTTTTTAGCTGGCTCCTAGATTCCAAACAAGCTTGTCAAGCCCTGGTGCAAGTGCTATAAGGTATATATTTTTGTTTGTATTCGCACATGTTTTTTTTCACAAGAGAAGCACCATTTTTAGACATTGTTTTTTTCAGGCATATGAGTGTACCATAATGCATTAGTAGGTTATGATATTAAATGCATGTTATTTTGCTACTGGGTATTGGTCTAAGGCTGTAATCTTAGATTAAATTTTTGTAGCAGTCATTTAATAGTTGTAAAACATGTGTAAATATTGTACCAAATTTACAATGAGATGCAATCCCTTTTTACAAGAATAATTTTCTTTGATGATCTCTTCCTCGTGTTTTATGGTTAGCTGGTAGACATAAAAAAAAAAATTCAAGTGAAAAATATATAAAAACAAAACCATAATATCAAATAATTTTTACAGGAAATGCATATTTAGAAGTTTATAACATATATAAGATGAATCCTGGATATTACCCCTGACTTTTGGCTTAGGGCAGGAGTAGGCAACCTTCGGCACTATAGTTGTTGTGGACTACATCTCCTTTGATGTCTTGCCACCACTTATGGATATTTAGCTTCCCAAGGTTACCTTCCAGCTGGTAACCAACCACATAGATACACAATATAGAATTCTGGGATCCAGATGATATCGCTAAAATAAATAAGTAAAGCAAAACAGAGTGCAATATTGTTTTGAAATAAAATAGCAGAACACTTTTTGGTTGCTCTCACAAATTTGAAGTTATAAAATGGCCTTGAGGATGCCTCTCCCGATGGTAGTGGGGGGTTGCAGCTCTCTTCTTGTAATTACCACAGTCTGGAAGCCAAGCTCATGAAAGTGATATCAAAGTCAAGATACTTAGTAAAAGTACAAATGCTCTATTAGCATGTATAATAATAAAAACCACATGAAAATTATAAATTAAAATAAAAAAATCAAATAGGTCCTATACGTTTAGTTTTCTGCAGAGAACTTCCTCAGGGACCAGTATGTAAAATAAACAATAAAAGTACAGATGCCAAACACAGCCTAATCCCATCCTCCCATAGTCCTCCTGAAAAAAGGCTAACCTGTACAGTTCATTGGTGGTGTGGAGGGCGTTCTTTCATACTACCTCCGGATTGGTCTTCTGATATGTCAATTGACCTATCACTTTGTTTGGTCCATCGACACTTATCACTGGTTTTCGTTTTGCTGCTAATCATCGTCTCCTGAGACATTCCGGTATGTACTTCCCCGAGAATCGTTGACGCACTTTCAGGTGTTCCAATGTTCGTTCACACCAATATGGCCGTGCATTCCAAATGGATGAGAGAAAGTTAAAATATGAACACCACCTGGTGTTTGCCAAGGACACTTGGAACAGTTTGTGAACCCAAAGTAAAGCATAATGTTCTCTTTGTATCAGGGCTCATTAACAAACTCCTAAAATCTCAACATTTGAATTTTAGTTTGTTGACATATGTGAACTATATATTCCAAACTTTCAATATTTCATATAGAAATAAATTAGTGCATACATTTTTGTGAAATTGGCCTTATTCATTACTTATTAATACTCCCCTATGCTTAATAGTGACTCAAACCATGGAGGAAATTTCCAACATCTTTTCATCCATAAAAAGTGCTATATATGTGTCCAGATTTAAGTTTAAAAAGTGAATAATATTTCATAAGATACATCAACATTAAACTGCATCTAAATTCATATTTAATATATACCCATACATACCCATACCATATTATTATTTTTTCTTATTTTACTCCTAAGCAAAATGTGAAAAGAATGAAAAAAGAAAAGGAGAAAAAACATCTTGAGAAATTAAACAAAGAAAACAAACCAAGCCTATGTCCTCATTCAGTTCCCTTGGTGTCAACGTTTGCAATTTATGTATCCAATAGGTCTCATGCTGTGCCAGCCTTTTCATCCTGTCTCCCCCTTTCGAGTGAGGTAAGACCTTTTCAATGCCCACACAGCTGAGACCACCCAAGTAAAATAATGAACAAGCATTGCTGCGTCTGTAAGAGCATTATTCTTTGATGTAACATTATGGCAGTAAGGGCATTATTGGTAATGTAGTCCACAAGATCTGGATTGCCACATTTTGCCTACCCCTGGTCTAGGGCAAATCACAGTAAAGAAATTAGTACCTAGTAACTTCTGATTATCTGGATTACTGGCAGTCATCTCCAGCATCACATTGCAGCTACATCTGCTGGCTGCTGCTGTTGCTCCTCATCCCTTTTAAGACTGGAAGACCCTCTTCTGCCCTGATCATACCCCCAAGATGGCCAGGCCCAGACACCCGTATGGGCTGTACCCCCTTGATGGCAACCCACTTTTTTGTGAAGAGACACACATTTGGTGTGTCTAAATCCCACCTGATTCTTTGCTTGAGACAGAGGATTTTAAAGGATTACTCTAAACTCTTTGACCATTTCAATGATTTTAAGTGGTCATAGTGCTTAGAGTTGGTGTCACGACAGTGACCCCTTCACACAGAGTGAAACCCAGAGGAAGACATTTACCGGACCTTAGAGTGGTCAAGGGAATACAGAAGATGGGCACACGATAATCCAAGCCAAAATAATGGGAAACCAGAGAACAGAATAGTCAGAGTGGGAGCCAAGAGTCAGATACCAAAAGAGACAATCAGAATATAAAGATCGCTAGAGGACTCAAACAAGAACCACACTAAGGCACCTAACAAGTGCTATGGTTGCCTTTTTATAGTGTGGGATCTTTAGCTTTAAATGCACACCCCCAAAAGGCCCGGGAGCGTGACCACGTTTGAATTTTGGCGGCACTATTTTGCTGACGTCCGCGTCGCGTTATAAAAATGGGCGTGTTGTGAGCGGCCGGTGTCAGAAGGACTGAGCCACCTCCCGGAAGTATGGGGAGAGAACGCCGTGCTGTGCGGATCCGGCGGGGAAAGGTAAGTGATCGTTACAGTTGGTATGTGCATTATTTCAATTTGGAACCATGCAGAAAGAGTTCAAACAAACTTTCTTGGCAGGCAAGTGTTAAATATTTGCATGTTTGGCATCTGTTGTCAGCACAGATAGTATGCTGGCGACAGATAACCAATGGTGGCAGAGCTCAGCCAGTCCTACAGTGATGAAGAGTGACATCACCAAAGGAGAATTGGGCTGCAGGGAGAACTTGACCTCAGTGTGTGTACTTTTTTTTTTTTTTTAAATAGGATAACATGACAGTAAAAGGTACCCAAATGGTGGTGGTCCCATAGAAATCTGGTGATGCAGCCTTTCAATAATCTCCGTCCCATTTAGGGAGCATACACTAAACCAAGCAGTATTCTACAGGCACAATTATATATATTTTACTAGGGAGTCTATTAGTAGAATGGGATCCCAATTTGTTTTGTTTTTTTGTTTTACACCATGACAGTACTATCCCCACCCATACTTTTACAGTACAGTCAACTGGTTCTCTTCTTCCATTCTACTATTGTAAAAGGAACAGGTGATCACTGTCCCTGACCTGGGATCCAGACCTGTCCCACTACAAGGTCCACCCCTTCTCCTCCATTTCCAGGGACCACCAACACCTTCCAGGCAGGTATCAACCCCTCTGTCTCTCCACCACTTTTCAGGCAGGTATCAACCTTCACTGCCACCAAATAATGCCTTTACAAAGGCACTTGTAATTCATAATCCTAGCTCTTTGCTTAAAAGTCCTCATTACCAAAGAACAGAACAGCCAGAAAACAGTTCCTAAAACTCTCTGCTACTGGAAACCCTTAAAGGACCGGACAAGACACATAGAATCTTAATAGAACTGCCAACACGTTATCCCAGAACTAGCCCCTATCAACATTACATTAGACTGGTGGCACACTTAGTATAATACATAAAACATTATCATATGGGTAATCATACAGGCAACCACACAACACAATTAAATATAACTATGCAAATCAGGGGAAACAGACAATGAAAATTCTATCATTTTGTCTGCATTACCATCATATGCAATTATATGCAAAATATATCTAAACATATTGGTGACTAGGAATGTACCAACAATAGATGGTCCTGCCACACACAATCTCTCCCTGGACATTGTGGTTCTGTTACATTGCTCTTCCTTTGTCCAACTGACCAGCAGACTTGGGTTGACCCTCTACAGGTGGAACTTTCCGGCTTGCCTCTGTCTATCTTTCAGAGTTTTGTATTGCCGTGATAATCCATTGGCATTGACATTGTCTCCTTGGACCCACTCCACTACTAGAGGGAGATGCTGTCTGCACCATTTCCACAAACATAATTCTTTGACTGGGAAGATGTATTGACTGCACAGTCTCACTTTCTCTCCAGAGCCATGAACCAGGTCATTTCCCTGAAGGACAACAACTAGCAAATCATTCATAATGCCCACGTCTATTTCCTGGCTGCCAATGCGCCAATCAAAGTGGATTTTGGCTGTTGAGAGTTTGTGCATGGCCTCCCTTGTTTGCTTAACTGCCACAGTAGGCCCTGTCTGATTTTGAGGACGGATCTATCATGGTTGAATCAGTGTCAGTTGAAGCTTTGTCCCTCAGTCCCTGAACAACTTGGCCACTCACCTAGTAGCTAGTAACTGGTCACAGTATGTAAAGTGGCTTCAGTACTGATTTAAAATCTGCTCCTCAGGTTATGGGCACAACCCCTTAACATTGTATGAACAGTTCTTTGCCAATGGGTGCGTGCCTTGCATGAAGGACATTTACTTTGAATAGGCTCCAGATTCCAACAAGAGTAACAGCATATTCCTGCTCTCCGACATGCCGGGTAGCAATCAGGCATCAGTCAGGCAAGTTGAGGGGAGTCCTCGAAGCATAGGCCAATGTGGGAGTACCAGTATTGAAGGTTAAGGTACTGGTTCTTGGGGTACAGGCATGGTTTGTTGATCTGGTACCTCTCCGAGCCTCTAAATATTCATTAGCTTTGTCCAAGGTGAGGTGCTTCTTGTCCCTTACCCACTCTCTGATTTTAGGAGCTGTATGCTGGTCAAAATACTTTAACAAGATCAACCCAACCTCTATGATATCCACCTGGCATCCCCGGCCATCAGTTATGTCCAGCTCAATACAGCTGATGGTCCCATTCATCATCCAAGTCCTGGGACCTGTTTCTGGATTCCCCCACCAAAAGTAAGTGTGCTTCTGGATTCAGGACATACCTCTCCAACAGCCGCTCCTTCACTGCAACATAGTCTCTGCTTAGGAATAGCCCAGTAAGCCTCTGAAGATCTTCCTGTTAGCTTGCCTGATAGTAGCATCATCCAGTCCTGCAGGTACCCAACAATATCAGGTGGGGAAAGTCTTTATAAAGGTTTCCCCATGCTTTGAATTCTCATTTGAGTGCTGGTTGGTATGCATGTAAACCAAACAATTCGAGCACTGTGACAGTCAAGTGTCACTTATCTCGAGACTTGCAGAGGAAATTTTCACAGACCAAAGTCAGGCTCATTTGGAGCCTTCCGTGCAAAATCAAGATGTTCTTGAATCGCATGAACAATGTCCAGGTTTTGCAGTCCGAACAGCACAGGATGGTTTTGCACCATTTGGGATGGTACCATTCAGACTTTAGTGAATAACCAGGCAACAAGAAAAATTCACAGGCACTCCAAATGTGAAAGCCGCAGGCAGATTTATTGCAACAAAATACACAGCAACGTTTCAACCTAACAAGAGGTCTTTGTCAAGCTGTGCATTTTGTTGCAATAAATCTGCCTGTGAATTTTTCTTGTTACCTTGTTGTGTTGAGATTGCTGGTCCTGTTCCAGAGCACCCGTGGCCGTTGGGAGTGAGTGCGGTTCCTGCGACCAATCCTTGCTATTTAGTGAATAACCGTGACAATGTCCCAGTGGATGATTGTGGCTCCATTCAGGGGCAGATCCAGAGCCTGATCTCGGGAGGGGCACATGTAGATCATTTAAAGAAATAATCCAGGCACAATAACCACTACAGATCTGTGTAGTGGTTATGGTGTCATGACCCCCTCTCTGAGTAAGTAGTCAAACTGTTTAAGAAAAGTTTGACAACTTTCCTTGGGTCTGCTTCGATATGTGGCTGTAGTAGGGCATAGAAGCAGTGGCGTGTGTGTGAGTGGTGAAATGTGTGAGGGGTGCAGTGTGTGTGTAGGGTGCAGTGTGAGTGTTGCAGTGTGTGTGAAGAGTGCAGTGTGTGTATGTGTGGGGCAGTGTGTGTGGTTGTAGTGTGTAAGCGGTCCAGTGTGTGTATGGGAAGGTTGCAGTGTGTATGTGTGTAAGGGGGTAGGGTATGTCAGGGGTGCAGTATGTATGTATGGGGGCAGTATATGTGTGTGAGGCAATGTATGTATAAGGGGGACAGTGTGTGAATGTGTAGGGTGTTATACTGTGTGTGGTGGGGAGGGAGGCAGATCAAAGCAAATATTTTTTATAATAATTTTTTTTAATTAAAATAAAACTATTATATATCTCCCCTCCCTTCTTACCTGAGGCCTGGGAGGGGGAGATGCTGTTTTCCCTCCCTGGCGGTCCTAGTAAAACACTCTTTTTTTTCTAGCTGAAATAACCCTTTAAGTATCTTTGTAATATCTGAAACTTGTTTGTTTTGTCTGTTTTTCACTTAGCATCTCTCTCAATATCTACAATTTCTTGTGGTGAATTGTGTTATTTGCAAATGTTCACTAATTAAAACTATCTCTTAAATCAGTAACTTTGTCTAGCCTACATTACAGATGTCAGAGGAATAGCATAGATTCATTCCATCATAAATGGTCACCCAAAAAAAAACAACAGCGTTTGCTACAACAAGTTGTCCAATTTATAAAATCTTTTTACTCTGAGATTGGTCTTCTAACTCACAGTCCAAGTTTGAGGGAGCTGGAGGTCTGAAGATTTTTTTAAGGTATTTTTTTTTAGTGTAGTAGAATGATACATTGAGTATCTGATAATTGTTTATGTATATCTACTCACTCACCGGTATCCTCTAACAGGGAACAAGGGCCAAATAATTTATGACATTATACAATTTTAGCAATAATGCCGAGCTGTGAAAGGCATTTTTACAATAAAATTTAAAAAAATACAACTAAAGTAAATAGACTTTTCTTCTTCACAAATAGGATCAGTTTCTAACCGCATGAAAAGATGTTTTGATACAGTACAAAGAAAATCAAGAGACATGATAGAAAATCCTTCAGAGAGATAAAACTTAATGGCAAATAAAAAACAAAACAAAAAAAACTTACATAAACCCCCCCCAGAACACTAGAGTGAATACAAATGCACAGATATTTGTGAGATCAATAGCAGCAATTTTCTATGACTATTGAAAGAAGGGCTTTGTATTGCATTTTAAAACATCTGGCCTGTCACATTTTGGTCATCGCAGCGATGGATCTGAAGGTTACACTTTATGTTTATTAACATCATCCAGATGGCTTTTTATGTCCTTAATAACTTCGTCCCTGACTAAGCCATGAACCTCTTGTTTGACAAACAGTAGGAATTATCCATTAGACTCTCTAAGCTTTTCTGAATCTTGCTGGAGGGTTAACCCCGGCGGTGCTGTAAGCAAGATGCTTTCTTTGGCAAGTGATGGTTTTCGTGACTGGTCTGGTGCTGAAATCGTTAATTTATGTTTCTGATTATTAGTACATCTTGCAACTGCTTTTGAAAGTTGTAGGCACTTGTAGAGTGACCTCATTTATAATTTTTCATCATTCTTCAGTAAATTGTTTCTTTCTGATAAGTCCATGCTAATGCTTTTAACTTATCAGGTGTATAATCTTTACAGTATAAATCACACTCCATCACAATATGATGGTGTAGCACTGAATAGAATGTGGTCACCTTGCTAACCCCTTTTAGAGTTCGGCATCTTTTCCTCGCTTAGCTCATGATTGGCATGCGGGGAGAATCTACAACTGTTAGTAATTGCGGTCGATGACTGAACTTTTCCATCCTATAAGGTACAGTTTCATTTAAAAAAAAAATACAACAGACTATTCTATATGAACGTTAATCTGGAAATAAAGATTGCGGCAGTACCTAGATATTAAATTACTTAAATGTCATTATGAACACTTTAAATATGATGACATCTTAGTATGGTTATTCTAAAAAAAATCAAAGCAAAATATGCAAGAAGAAGCTTTCAATATGATTATTCTAAAGATTGTTTTCAGTATATTCAGTATATATATATATATATATATATATATATAACAAAAATAGGTAAAGGGAGCACACTAGGACTTCATTAGGAAAAATAAGCTTCTTTTATTAAATGCTTACCAAAGCATAGTCTGTGCGAAAAAATCAACGTTTCGACCCTCCTGGGGTCTTTATCAAGATCACAGTAACATAGTTAATCAAACCAAATATATACAGAAATAGTAGTGACAGCTTACCAATGAAGCGATCGAGCAGCCGACCGGCAGAAGAACCCGGAAGTGAAAACACCACGTGGACGTGAAGCGTAAGTGACGTGGTTGCTAAGCAACCAGACAAACTAAAAGCGAAAAAGTAGATACATAGTATGTAAATGTATCTAACCATCCGTCCGGGAATGGAGGAACTAATTATGATAGCCGAAACAGTGGAGATACCTCTGTGGTGAACTAGTGATCCTGCAGATAATACAAAAATCCTGCAGTGTGAGAAGCAATCATGAAAGAGTACTCCAAAAGAGCGGCTAAACATAAAAAATAAATAAATAAATAAATAAATAAATAAAATATAAAAATAAAACTAAAAAATAAAAACTATAAATGTATAAAAAAATGCTGAATAGAAAATAAATAAATAAATAAATAATGAAGAAATGAAAATATAAATCAATATAAAAGTAAAGATAAATATAAATAAATAGAACAAAATCAAAAATAAAAAATAATAAATAAATAATAATAAGTAAACAATAAAAAATAAATAAAGAATAAAGAAATATATAAATATAAAGAATGAATAAAATAAAAAATAAACACTAATAAACAACTAGGACACAAGCCAGAGCCACTGAGGCAAAGTATAAGAGCATAGCCTATGGGTTATCAATATGCTCTAAAGTAGCAAAACACTACCCAATAGTAATCTAACTGGGTGAATTATATAGCCTCATAACTTACAGTATTAAGCCTAACAGAACAGGAGAAAGATGAAGAAGGATACCATAAGATGACAGGAGGAACGGAGATTACACATACCACAGAGTGGGCAGAACAAAGCTTATAAAAACATAGAGAGAACCAAATTTTCATTTAGTCCCTTAGGAGTCACAGTGTCCAGATAGTGTATCCAGTAAGCTTCACGTTGTAGAAGTATTCTGGATCTGTCACCCCCTCGTGGCAACATAGGAACATGGTCAATGGCTATGAAGCGAAGCGTAGGTAGTGGATGCTGTGCAGACAAAAAATGCTTCGCCACGGGCTTATCTGTCTTGTGGTCTCTGAACGCGGTTATAATTCCAGATCGATGTCCCCTCATACGGTCTCTTAGCGTCATATCCGTTTTCCCAACATAGGAGAGTCCACATGGGCAAGTGATCATATAGACAACATGTGTGGTCATACACGTAATATAGTAGGTAATTGGAATTCTTTTCCCGCTGTGTGGATGGGCAAATGTAGATCCACTAAGCATATGGCTGCATGTAACACAGCCTGTGCACTTATAGCATCCTTTTTTCTTGATGCCTGTTGTTTTTGCGTAGCAGTGACGGGGATCATTTTTAACTAATAAATCCCTCAGATTACGATTACGTCGGTAACTGATAGTCGGGTTACCTTTAAATCTGACTGGAAGAGTGCTGTCGCTTTGAAGAATATTCCAGTGTGCATATATGGACTTCTTTAATAGTGGAGTAATTGTATTAAATGTGAGTGGCAGGAAAATATTCTTGGTCTTATTTCCATTCGCTTTGGTGGTTTCATTGAATTTTTTCCACGCTCTTTGTTTAGCATTCATGAGAATCCGAGGGTGAAAACCTCTGGCTAAGAACCGGTTCCATATTTCCTGTAATTGTTCTATATTGTTCTAATTGTTCTATATATATAAAATTGATTTTAAAGAAAGAATGAAAAGGGACAGATTTTCCAACAAATATTTCCCAAGCACCAT